ACTGCTGAGGGGAGCAGCGGGCGGGTCAGGAGAGGTCTGCCACGCCATGTGGTCACCTCCAGGGCAGGCGGGGATCGAACTCATGAGGAAGTGACCCTAGTTTCTCAGTGCAGTGCTTTAACCCGCTGCGCCACCAGGGAGGGCCCTACTTGACTTTTTTAAGATGACTTAAGCACCGATAGTTTTACATGATTTTGTACCTATAACTTGAAGCTTAGACTATGACAAAATATCATTTGCTGTTACTATGGAAAGAACTAAAACTGGTAGTTTTCTAGCCAAGGTGAAAGTTACTTGATTTGCTATTTCTCATAATATGTTCCTTTTCTATAGGGACAGCCTTAAAATAGTACTTGGAGAAGGAAAGAAGCAAAAAAAAAAAAAAAAAAAAGAAAAATGTAAAAGATAAGCAGACATGCTCATTATAGACAAAATGGTTAAATAAGAACATTTTCACATTTCTCAGAAATAACCTTACTGTATTTCATGTCCTTTTAGGATTTTTTATTTTTCCAAGTGGTATTATGTGTACAACAATTTTAGTGTCTTCTGATTGCCTTATACTTACGGATTTATTATTTTTATAATTAAGGCAATTTTCTGAAATGCATCAAAAGAAACACACATGAAGGGATTTATTTGCCTCTTATTTTTTTCCCCCTTTGGGTCTCTTCTTTTAGTCTTTTTGGCCACTTTTATTCATCAGTGTTTTGTTTTAGAATTCAGGAAAAGATTTGTATTAGCTTTTCTTGTTTTGTTTAGAATGTAATGATTGTGATTTATGCTACTAATTTTAGGAAGCATTCAAAGCTGTGGAAGATATTCATGGGCTATTCTCCTTGTCTAAAAAACCACCTAAACCTCAGCTGATGGCAAATTACTATAATAAAGTCTCAACTGTCTTCTGGAAATCTGGAAATGCTCTCTTTCATGCATCTACACTCCATCGTCTTTACCATCTCTCTAGAGAAATGAGAAAGAATCTAACACAAGAAGAGATGCAAAGGTAAGAATGTTCTAATCTATTAGTATTGAAATTATGAAGTAGATACCTTCTGGTATGATAGTCTAGGCAGGTAAAGGTTTCTTAACTTACACTATTGGCACTTGAGGTCAGGTAGTTCTTTGCTGTTGGAGACTGAATTTAAGATGTTCAGCATCCCAAGCTGTACCCATTGATGCCAATAGCAGTCTCTTGAGTTGTGATTCTCAGTCTTAACTGTTCGTGGGCAATATTCATGGTCTTCAGTAGCTGTCTTGTGTAGTAATCAATTCTGCCAGAAACCCATTTGAGAATGTTACTAGGAAAGACACTGGTACGGTCAGTGTTTTAGCCACATATAGGACATAAGTCTATTCTTAGATCAAATTACCCAGTTAAGAAAAATACTCTGATCAAGTAATTTCCTGTTCTTGACTATAAAACAGTAACTTGAGATTATTTGGGATGTACATATAAGGTACAAAGATATTTATGAAGGATCATAAACAACTTAAAGATTGTTGTATTTATTATTGAAGTGTTACTGATTTGCCACTAGTTTATAGTGTAATTTGGAATATAGCGTCACACCTACTTGTGAGCTTGCTTCACCCGCCACTCACTCCTCGGTGACTCAGCCTTGGCAAATCTCTCTTCCCCATATCCTCCACCTCTCCTCCACCCTCTCTTGTAGCCAATATATTTTTCATGGAGCCTGAGAATTCTCACTGTTTTGCTAGTTTGTTTCCTTTGGTTATTTTGGCAAAAGAGGGAGCCCATGTCTTCATTTTTTGACTTTAGTTTGCATTATTGCCTCTAGCTCTGTTCACCTTGACCCAGAAGGCACTATTTCTTTATTCTTTTTTTTAAAGATTTATTTATTTATTCATACAGAACTGGGGTACAGGCCAGAGGCTCAGGGGCGGTGAGAGGCTTCACCAGAGACAGAGTGGGGAGCAGAACAGGCAGATCGACGAAGTACACTGCTGAGGGGAGCAGTGGGCGGGTCAGGAGAGGTCTGGCTCGCCATGTGGTCTCCTCCGGGGCAGGCGGCAGGCGGGAATCGAACTCATACGGAAGTGGCTTCAGATTCTCAGTGCTGTGCTTTAACCCGCTGCGCCACCAGGGAGGGCCTATTTCTTTATTCTTAACAGCTGAGTGGTATTCCAATGAATATGTAGTTGATTTTTTTTTTTTTTTGTTTTTAAATCCAAGTCTTTAAAAAAAAATTTTCTTTAAGATTTATTTATTCATACAGAACTGGGGTACAGGCCAGAGGCTCAGGGGCGGCGAGAGGCTTCGCCAGAGACAGTGTAGGGAGTAGAACAGGCAGATCAATGAAGTACACTGCTGAGGGGAGCAGCGGGCGGGTCAGGAGAGGTCTGCGGTGCCATGTGGTCACCTCCGGGGCAGGTGGAGATCGAACTCATGCGGAAGTGGCTTAAGCTTCTTAGTGCTGTGCTTTAACCCGCTGCGCCACCAGGGAGGGCCCAAGTCTTTTAATTTTTAAGCATTTGTATGTAGCCTATTTTACTCTTGTTTTGTCTTTAAATTTAGGTAACTCAACATTTTTTCTTTCTAAATTCATTTATTTATGCATACAAGAACTGGGGAACAGGCCAGAGGAGGGGGTTGTGAGGATTCACCAGAGACAGAGTGGGGAACAGAACAGGCAGATTGACTGAAATACACTGCTGAGGGGAGCAGCAGGTGAGATAGAGATCTGCTGCTCCGTGTGGGTCAGCTTCCTGGCCAGGGATCAAATTCATGCTGCAGGTAGCTTCATAGTACTGTGCGTTAACCTGTTGTGCTACCCAGGAGAGCCCCTCAGCGTCATTCTTCCTCTCTTACTGGTAGACACATATTTTGATTTCTAGTATAATTTTGTATGTTACGTATACCAACTTAAGTGTCTCTTAGTTTTATAGTAATACATGAAGCCAACTAATGAATGTGCCTTTATGTTTTCTTTTGAGACACATTGATGACATGATCATTCTGTCATTTACTACAATTCATATGCTCCATGCTTTTGGGTGATTAAAAAATATTTCTTTCAATACATACTTTTTAGGGCGTATTACAGTAATAAGCAGTAGTCTTAACTTTTTGTGCATTGTTTAATCTTCGCAATAAATTTGTGACCTGGAAAATTAAGTATTTTCCTTGAAAATGGTGACTCAGACTCGAGTCCACTTGCCTTAGCATTTGGTGCTCTGAATTTACCAGACTTCCTGTTTGTGTTTTAAAGAAGCTAAAATTTATTTTAAGATTTATGCTTTTTTATTTATGCATATAAGAACTGGGGTGAAAACAAAAAACAAAACAAAAAAAACTGGGGTGTAGGCCAGTGATGTTGGGGGTGAGAGGATTCACCAGAGACAGAGTGGGAGCAGAGCAGGTGGACCTACTGAAATACACTGCTCTGGGGAGAAGTAGGCTGGGCAGCAGAGGTCTGCTGGGCCCTGTGGTTCAGCTCCCTGGCTGGGGATCAAACTCACATCACGGTGGCTCGCAATAGGTTGATAGGGCTAAGGGAGGGCCACTAGGGAGGCCTGGGAAGCTAAAATTTAGCTTTTGACCTCTTTCCCATAATTGTATTCAGTTACAGTCCTTGTAATTTTTTCCTGAAATTTTTTTTAAGCTTATAATTTTGTAAGGAAACATAAGTTTAATCCCACAGCCTTTGTATAGTTAGTAAACATTGGCAGGGTTAAGTGAGTGAATGGACTTTTAATTTCTGTACTTGTTCTTTTTTAGTGTGGTCATTTCTTTTTAACTAAAGGGTTTGATGGTTTTATTTATAAATGCTGTTCACTGTTATGGTGTACACTTTCTATCACCCGCATATTTTACCAGGTGATCAAAGGGAGATCTTCCTGCTTGCTAAATAGCATTTGCAAATTTAACAGGTTTGTAACTTTGTTTTATTTTGTTTTTCAGGATGTCTACTAGAGTTCTTCTGGCTACTCTTTCCATTCCTATTACCCCTGAGCGAACTGATATTGCTCGACTCCTGGATATGGATGGCATCATAGTTGAAAAACAACGTCGTCTTGCAACACTGCTTGGGCTTCAAGCCCCACCAACACGAATTGGCCTTATTAATGATATGGTTGGTATAAGTTTGCACATTTTTACAGCTTTGAGTGGAAAATGTTTTATGATACATAACTAAATACTAGGAATGCTGGGGCATCTGATGCATGGATAAGCTTGTGAATTGTTCGTGTAAATGAGCAATTTCATTGAAATAATTTGTCTGGTGGTGAGCTGGGTTAAATTTGATGTAGCAGATGAGACTTGGATTAGGTCTGAGGAATAGTGTGGATTACTCAGTAAGTGGAAAGTGGCAGGGAAGATTTGTGACTTGTTTCAGTGGGGCAGGAGTAGGAAAACTAATAGCCGATAATAAATTGGAGAAAGAATGATGCATCTAGGCAGAAGATGTGGTTGATTAAGTTTGATTCTGTAAAGCTAAAGTTTCTTTTCTAAAATTTGTTTATGTTGGTAAAGTAATAATTCTTATTTGGGACTATGCAATAAAATTTGTGTAAAATATTTTTGAAACTGTAGACTGCTCGGTTTTATCCATTATATATAGTATGAAATTCATTTTAGGGTGTATAGGGCCTAAGGTTTATATATCTTTGTTTATTTTGTCATTTTAAAAAAAGATTTATTTATGCATACAAGTACTTGGGGGTACAGTTCACAGGTGCAAGGTGGTAAGAGGATTTACCAGAGACAGAGTGGGGAGCAGAACAGGCAGATTGACTGAAATACACACTGCTGAGGGGAGCAGGGGGCAGCACAGGAGAGGTCTGTTATGCCATGTGGGTTACCTCCCTGGCTGGAGATTGATCTTGTGCTGCAATAGCTGTGAATTGCTTCATAGTGCTGTACTTTAACCTTTTGTACCACCAGGAAGGACCCTAATGGGATTTTTTTTATTCAGTTTATTTTGTGAGCGTCCATTAAATGCCAGGCAAATGATACTTTAATGGAATCTCATATTCCAAAGGAATTTAGGTTCTAGAGTTTTGACTCAACAGTTGTTGTAGTGGTGTTTGTGGTAACTGCCTCCAGGAAATTACTTTGGGACAAGAGGAAGAAGAGGGACATTGCTAGAAGAAAGACCCTGCTTTTCTGGTAGGATAGGTCAATTTGAGTAAGAACCACTAAGCTTTTATTGTATTTACAATATACTCCTGACATTTCTCTACTACAGTAGTAAGGAAAAAATTCCTTTGTAGTGAAATTTAATCAATGAACACTATTCCTCTTTTTGTGTTTTCCATATTTTGCATCTGCTGTCCATAGAATCTGTGTATTGGTGGTTTTCTGTGGGACTGTATGAGGGTTAAGTGTAAGCAGGCAGCAACAACAGAATTGTCTTTAGAGGGAATCTTCCTGGTATGCTTGAAAGATTTTCTTTTTTAAAAAGAGTGATTTGTGCATACAAGAACAGGGGTGTAGGCTAGATATGTGGGGTGGGGTGGTGGTGAGAGGATTCACTATAGACAATAGGGAGCAGAACAGGCGGATATACTGAAATGCATTGCACTGCTGAGGGGAGCAGTGAGCAAGACACCCTGTGGGTCAGCTTCCTGGCCAGCTGGGGTGTAAGTCATGCACGCGTGCCTTTGGGTTGGTCTGGTCACTTGGTGATAGCTTGATAGTGCTGAGACTTTTAACCCCTTGCACCATCAGGAAGGCCCAGGTTTTATTTTTCTACTGGAAAAGTGTGACAAAGTAGAAACAAAGTCTACTAATTTCTTAGCCCCCACACTGCATACCACAGTGTCTTGATGTAGAGTTGGTCTATGATGATGCCATTATTTTTTTAACTTACTTAAGCAAGTAAGGGCTGAGGTACAGACCAGAGGTGCAGAGGATGAGAGGATTCACTAGAGACAGTGGGGAGCAGAACAAGCAGATTTCCTGAAATATACTGCTGAGGGGCGCAACAGGGAGACAGGAGTGGTCTGCTGTGCCAGGTGGTCACCTCCCTGGCTGGGGATCCAGTATATGCTGCAGTGGCTGCGGATAGCTTGATAGTGCTGAGACCTAACTACTTGCATCACCATGGCGACTCCTATACGATGCTTGTAGGTACCAGTGTTGGAGAGCAGGAGGCCAGCAGCCAGGACATCTAGTGTCAGGTACTTGTGCACAAAGATAACTGGAAGTTGAAGAAGGGTATTTGAGGTCGAGTGATTAGATACGGTGGTTGGCAAGTGGTATGAATAAATCTTGGTGTGTTCATCTTGCCAGCAAGCTTTGGGCTCCTGTAACTGACTATGTGAGCAGTGGGACAAAGACTTCATTATTTCAGAAACAGACTGAAATGTTTCAGAAACATTTACAAGAGGCTGGTATTAAATGAAAAAATCAGTTATCAGTATTAGTGAGAAATCGAAGTTAATAGTTCGTGGTAACCTGTCTTAGTCCTTAGTTGGAGGGGTTGCTAATGGATACACTAGGACAATTTTGATAGGAATGAAATTAGAGCTGGGTAATTTAAATGCTTATACCTCACCTTATTCCAAGAATGAAAGGGAAGTACTCAAATGCTTGAGGACATTAGTCATGTACCCATTTTTCGTTGGCGTTAAACTTAGACTCAAGCATGTGCGTGTTCTTCTTGGGACAGGCTCTGCCAACATTTGCCTCAGTCCTGTGACCCAGTCTCCCAGGGTGCCTTGCTTCTGTGTTCTCAAGTCTTGCCTGATGTGTCCCTGCAGTTCCCTCACTCAGGGTTTGGCTCGGGGTACTTTAGAGATTTATATACCATGCTGATCTTTGGTCTCCTTTGTAAGAAAGGTTGTATGAAAGACACTTTAATTTTAGAAGGAAGGTGAGTTCTATTAATAAACAAACATGTTATAAACTAACACTTAAAAATTGCAAATCATAACAGTAATTGGATAAACTCTTAAAACATTCTTTCCTGTTACTACTTTTTCCAAACCCCAACATCGCCGCTCCCCCCTGAAAATAGGTACTCTGCGGACTTACCACCTTCCTTTTTGTGGGTTTTTAAAATCAAATATTGCCTATATGTGTATTTATTAAATATGTTTATATGTTTATATATTTATGTATATAAGAACTGTGCTTTAGGTCAGAGGTGTAGGGGTGACAGGATTCACCAAGACAGAGTGGGGAGCAGAACAGGTGGGTTTAATGAAATACACTGTTCAAGGGAGCAGGGCGGGGACAGAGAGGTCTGCTGTGCTGTGTGGGCCACTCCCGGCTGGGGGTTTGAACTCCTGCTTCAGTGGCTGGCGATGACTTGATAGCACTGAGACAACCCCAGTGCCACCAGGGAGCCCCTACTTGTGTATTTGATAGGAAATTTATTTTCCTTGTATGTGGAATTATAAATGAAATTCTTTTTCTAAAGACTAAATATGTGAGGTTTATTGATGTGTCGAATGTGACTTTTTGCATTACCTATTTCTGTATATTACCCAAATGTAGTATCCTTTTTTTTAGGCCTAGTTTAGGCCTATTAGAGTAGTGTTCTACTTTAATAATTTTGTGTCATGGTTATTTGATAATTGGTTAGTTTGGTCTGTTGACCACGATTTGTCTTTGTAAATATTTTGATTGTGTTTTTTAGAGTTTTTATTTCTTTGCTAGGTTTTTGTGTGACAGCACTGCATTGTAGGTTATTGCATCCTTTGGGGTGAGAGCATCAGTATAATTGTCCTTGAGATTCTTGGGTAACTTTAAATGGGGTTAAGACTAGACAATTTTCTGGCTTTCCATTCCTGTCTTTTTCTTTATACTCAATACAGAATTCCAGTTGGGAAACATCCTGCAGTAATGAATCCTTTTCATTTTGTGTACTGTAGGTCAGATTTAATGTACTACAATATGTTGTCCCAGAAGTGAAAGACCTTTACAATTGGCTGGAAGTAGAATTTAACCCACTAAAACTCTGCGAGAGAGTCACAAAGGTAAGCCTTTGTTTGTATTTAAGTTTTCGTCATGTGAGCAGTACTCAGCTGTTTGGTACTTTTAGGTTGAATTACTATTTACTGGAGAGGTTATTGTCCTGTGTGTTTGAATCCAGTGCACATTTCATTGCCTTTTTTCTTTATACCAAGAGAAAAAGGGTATTTCTGATGTGCTAAAGAAACCTTTGGAGGTAATTAGCAGCATGACTAATGTAGCCATTGCTGTCAGTCACCTTCACACAAGAATCGGGCCATTCATAGTATATTTCGTATTTCTTTGCCTTTTGTAATGTTTTTATATGTTGAAAAAGTTAAAGAGTTGTAGAGTCCATTGTAGAGAAAGTATCATTGTTTTCAATTGAATGGATTTTATAGGTTCTGAACTGGGTCAGGGAACAACCTGAGAAGGAGCCGGAGCTGCAGCAGTATGTCCCTCAACTGCAGAGCAACACCATACTCCGCCTTCTGCAGCAGGTACGGCATTGTGTGTGAAACTGGGGTTTCTCCAGTTGATTACCAAACTAAAAAATTATGAATAGCCTAGAAAGTGAAAGCGTCTCCAGATTCGATATCCTGCCCAAAATAGCCTTATTGCTTATTTGTTTCATTTGAAGGCAAAAATTTTACATGACTAGCCGTTCTTTTTTGTGGATGCACCATATAATATTTGTGCATTTTCACTATTAGTGATATAAGTCTACTTTACTTCTCTTGATATACTTTGCATGGTTTTACATTGTCCAGAAATACCATGACTGACTTTTTCAAATTTATTGAAGTAAATCAGTATTTCTAGGTTTTTTTTGCTTTCAGAAAATGCTGTAGCACTGAGTGTCTTGCATACATGTGTCTTTGCATACTTTTATTGCATAAGAAGGGAAAGGTGTAGTGTGAACAAATTTATAGTTCGAGATTCTTTAAATGGACCATTCTACCAATAGTGAGTGAGACGTTGTGCTAATATAAGGTATTACTAGTTTTTGATATGTTTTGTCCTCAGTTTCATTTTAATGGTTTGTTATGGCCTAAATGTTCCTGTTTTGTCTTCGTTTTGGAAGCAGTTTTATTACAAATTGACTTCAGTATTTGCACATTTCATTGACCTGCTTTCCTTTGTACATGAGAGCAGTGTTATTTCTTGTGTGCTACACAAGTAGTTGAAGGTTAATTAGCAGTATAACTAAATAGTAATGCTGCCAGTCTCCTTCAGACAAACTTTTTAAAATGTTGAGCTAAATTAGTTAATAGGTCTCTAGAAATACTTAACCATTCAGGCTTTTTTTTTTTTTTTTTAAAGCATGTGAAAAGATCATGCTCTGAGCTATACAGCATATTGTGATGATGGGAAGTATAGACTTGGGGGTGGTAGTCTTGGATTGTAATGTAAATCTAAATCCTTGAGCATTGCATGTGAATGTCATGTAATGTAAATCCCTGAGCTTCCTTATTTTTCCATCTGAAAAATGGGTATGCTCTTCCCCATGGTTGTCAGGCTGCACTGCGCATTCAAAATACTAAGTGGTAATGGCCAGTATTAATAACCTTTTATTTTTCATGCAGGTGGCACAAATTTACCAGAGCATTGAGTTTTCTCGTTTGACATCTCTGGTTCCTTTTGTCGATGCTTTCCAGCTAGAACGGGCCATAGTAGATGCTGCCAGGCACTGTGACCTGCAGGTCTGTGTTTGCTGTAAGGGGGGTGCAGGGGGACGGGCGGCCTTTTAGGCCTATGACATATTCTTTGTTTCTCACTTTTTGCATAATTTAAAATCTTTATTGAGTAAATCTAGATTTTGTATTTAACAGTCTGTTTAAGTGTTTTGATCAATGTCATTTATTTGCAGAATGACTTCATATTTGCCTATAGATATTGATAATTTCATTTAATTTTCAAAGGTTCGTATTGACCACACCTCTCGAACCCTTAGTTTTGGATCTGATTTGAATTATGCTACTCGAGAAGATGCTCCGATTGGTCCTCATTTGCAAAGTATGCCTTCAGAACAGATCCGAAACCAGCTGACAGCTATGTCCTCAGTACTGGCAAAAGCACTTGAAGTCATTAAGCCGGCGCATATACTGGTATGCATCTTTGGGGGAAGAAGTGAAACACAATTTCTGAGGAATTTTTTTTTTTTTTAATTACAAAAGTTTATTTGGATTTTTTTTTTAAGATTATTTGTTCCTACAAGAACTGAGATACAGGCCAGAGGTGTGGAGGGTGAGAGGATTCAACAGAGGGGGCGAGCAGAATAGGCAGATTGACTGAGATACACTGCTGAGGGGAGCAGTATGCCGGTCAGAAGAGGTCTGTTGTGCCATGTAGGTCACTCCCTGGACAGGGATGGAGCTCCAGCTGCAGTGGCTGTCATAGTGCTGTGCTTTACTTTCTGCCACCAGGGAGGCCTTTCTGAGGGATTCTTGACGTGTCTTTCACAAACAGATTTGAGATGATGTGAGGAAAGGGATTTGTTGCTTTCTATTTAGTTGTACTAGGTAGTTTGTAGTGTTTTGTCACATTTTTATTAGATGTACAGTGCAGTTGATCTGCCTTCCTTACAGTAAAATGTGGGTCTGTGCAGATAATAGGTCTGTAAATACTATTTCATATAACTCGCATATGTCATGAGCTCCCCAAATAGGGAATACTGACTGTTTCCTGTGTAACTTGTTTCTTTTTTTGTTTGTGAGCTCTGTTAGTATTCTATTCTTCCTTGACTTGGGCACTGTAGATTGGCTGCACAGAAAAGTGGCCTAGCACCTGAGCGTTCCTCAGTTGTCAGTGCTGTTAGTGGTGCTGAATAGCAGTATGATACTTTAGAATTGGGGATGACTGGTAGTGTGGATAGTGTTGTCTTTTGTTAAAAATGCAGACACATCTGAAGGTAATCCATACAAATTACTTTCATGCCTACTACCAGGGTATATCACTCAGTTTTAAAGATTGTGTTTGTTTTTGAAGCAAGAGAAAGAAGAACAACATCAACTGGCTGTTACTGCGTACCTTAAAAATTCACGAAAAGAGCACCAGCGTATCCTGGCTCGCCGTCAGACAATCGAGGAAAGGAAAGAGCGGCTGGAGAGTCTGAATATACAGCGAGAAAAAGAAGAATTAGAACAGAGGGAAGCGGAACTCCAGAAAGTACGAAAGGCTGAAGAAGAGAGATTGCGACAAGAGGCAAAAGAGAGAGAGAAGGAGCGTATTTTACAGGAACATGAACAAATCAAGAAGAAAACGGTTCGGGAGCGTTTGGAGCAGATCAAGAAAACGGAGCTGGGTGCCAAAGCATTTAAGGACATCGATATTGAAGTGAGTAGCATGTTACTCACTAACAGTTTATCAGTTAGGATTATTTCCCTCACTTGTACAGCAGGCTCATTTCTGCTAACCTGTGAAGTGAGCATTTATTTTTAATGACTCCACAGTTTTTAACTGCTGCAGTGGGGTTTTGGGTATCGGTATATTGTAGAGGAGTAGAATATCTGCTAACATCCCATGATTTTATTTCCCCCGTGACCGGTGGAAATGAGGCTATTGTAAAACATTTTTATATTGACTAAGCTGATATCCACTGTTGAAAAAAAGTAATTTAGGATGTGATTCTGGAAAGCAGTGCTCCATATTGACTAAAATAAATGTATTTTACAGTCTTAATTCACGATTGTGCACCTGTATTGCTTTTCAGGATCTTGAAGAATTGGATCCAGATTTCATCATGGCTAAACAGGTTGAACAACTGGAGAAAGAAAAGAAGGAACTACAGGAACGACTGAAGAATCAAGAGAAGAAGGTACATGAACAGACCAGTAAACTTTTAATGAATCGAAAAGTACATTTTCGTGTAATTCCTATTGACCCTGTTTTTCCTTTCTTTAAGATTGACTATTTTGAAAGAGCTAAGCGTTTGGAAGAAATTCCTTTGATAAAAAGTGCTTATGAAGAGCAGAGAATAAAAGACATGGATCTGTGGGAACAACAAGAAGAAGAAAGAGTAAATTTTTCACTTCACATTATGTTTTGTCAGTAAACTATACTTAAATCCTCTGCCAGTAAGAGCACACCTGGGTTTTAAAATTGGCTTATTTTGTATTTTGTCAGAAATGGTGCTGCTGGTGCATATAGAAAGCGAAGCTTCCACAGTAAGATTTAAAAAAAAAAATTCTAAGGATAGCTGAAAAGTCATTTAAATTAACCTGCTACCAAATTCATAGTCTTTGACTTTTTTTTTTAAAGAAACCACTGGTCTTTTTGTCTCTAGATTTGCCTGTCACATTTCATTTGAGTGGAGTCACATAATAGGTGGTCTTTTGAAGCCAAACAGCTTCCTACTTTTATTGGTCTGTATTGTATTTATCTAGTGACAATGGAGGTTTGGAAATACTTAGAGTGACCAAATTTGTGATTAAAAATGAATTTGGCTTCATTGTGGTTTTGTAAAGTAACTGCAGGCAGATGCAGAGAATAGCATGCTGCTGTGGAGATCACAGCCTCTCGTTGGCTTACCTGTTGGCCTTCTGTGTCGAGGGTTGTCAGTTTGTTGAGTCGTTTGTCACTTGGGGTTTTGGTGAGAGTTTCCTTAAAACTAGGAAAAAGAATGTAGATCTATCAAGTTTATTGAGGGACTTGCTATAATCCCTGCTCTCAAGCAATCTTTCCATTTATCCACTTGAAGTGACCAACGTGTTCTATCTTTACTAGTAATTATTTTTAAGGAATAAAATGCTTTTAGTAAGTAAACTATACTGCTTTTGACTTACAGTACTTACTATTTTCTTTATAGATTATAGTTTTTTGTTTATTAAAACCGCTGAAAAACAACTTTTTACAGATCGCCCAGGACTGCTTCATCCATTTTGTGCCTCTCCTTGCGTGGATATTAGCTACCCTTGTTTTTATGGCAAGATGGAAGAGGCAGGGGAACTGTAATTCTTCTAGAATATCTATCAGGAACGTGGGTATATTATTAATCAGATTGTAAATGTGTTGAAACTTTACTTTCCATGATGTGTTTGCAGATTACTACCATGCAGCTGGAACGTGAAAAGGCTCTTGAACATAAGAATCGAATGTCACGGATGCTTGAAGACAGAGACCTGTTTGTAATGCGACTCAAGGCTGCCCGGCAGTCTGTTTATGAGGTGAACACTCTGGTTTCAGGGAAACAGAGATCCACGAGCTTTTTAGTTTTGCCTAAAGGTTTTCCTTTAACACAGGGAGATATAGTCTTTTAAACTAACATTTATATAAAGACATTAAAACAATGTATCAGCAGAAATTTTCTTGAAACTTTCATAGCTTATGTGGCCCATCACCACTGAAAGTGTCCTGGATGCAATTTGCTTTTGATGCAAGCTTTTTATTTACTGATTTAGAAAGGAAAAGAATATCCTCTTAAGTTAAAACTGTTTAATTTATTTTGTATAAAATGAAGCCCTCTGGTGTAAAATAACAAAATTTGACTTGAGAGAAAAATTTACCTTTTTTTTGAAACCCTGTTATTTTACTCGAAGGTTCTGTGTTTCCAAGAAATATGCAACTTTTGTAAGCTTAAATTTACAGTGGATTTGTAGCTCTTAAAAGAGTTGATAAATGTTTTGGGATTGTTCCAGGAAAAACTTAAACAGTTTGAAGAGCGACTAGCAGAAGAGAGGCATAATCGCTTGGAAGAACGTAAAAGGCAGCGCAAAGAAGAACGCAGAGTAACTTACTACAGAGAAAAAGAGGAAGAGGAACAGAGGAGGGCAGAAGAACAGATGCAGAAAGGTTACTGTCTAGAATAAGAATGGAGGACTGACAGAGTGGGTGGTGTGTCTACTTAAAATAATCTTAGGAAATAAGAGATGAGGAATGAGCATCATTGGCTCCTTAACTGCAACTAACTAGTTCTTAAGTTCTTTTTTTTTTTTTTTTTGCCATTTTTTTTTTTTATTAAAAAGTTTATTTTTACATCATTTTTCACTTTTTTTTTTCATCTCAATTGTAATCCCCATGGGTTTTAAGTTCTTTTTTTTTAAGATTAATTTATGCATACAGTACTGGGGTACAGGCCACAGGTTACAGGGGTGGTGAGAGGATTCACCAGTGACAAAGTGGGGAGCGGAACAGGCAGATGGACGAAGTACAGCGCTGAGGGGAGCAGCGGGCCAGACAAAAGAGGTCTGCTGCATCATGTGGTCACCTCCAGGGGCGGGGAGTCGAACTTAAGACTGCTGCTGGCTTGCAGTGCTGTGCCCTGACCCCTTGCATCACCAGGGAGGGCCATGTTCTAAGGACCTAACTTAGTTGTCTTGAGGTTTGTTGTAGCAGAGTTTTGGTTCCTCTATAAGCTTTTTTTTTTTTTTTTTTTTTTTTTTTGCATCTGTGTGCTTTAAAAACTCTGCCTTTTAATTTTTTTTTTTTTTTAAGATTTACTTATGCATACAGGAATGTGGTGTAGGCCAGAGGTGTGGGGGAAGAGGATTCACCAGAGACAGTGGGGAGCAGAACAGGTAGACCTACTGCAGCACACTGCTGAGGGGAGCAGAGGGAGACAGGAGAGGTCTGCCGCACATGTGCATCAGTTCCATGGCAGGAGATAGCTTGATATTGCTGAGACTTTAACCCCTGCACCACCAGGGAGGCCTTGCCTTTCTGCTGTGTTTTATATGTTAACATTTATTGAGGAAAATACCCTGCATTCTTAAATCATTACAAAATTATTGATTGACACAGAACTTGGTTTCTTGAATATCTGTTTCCTTTCAGTGATTTTAAACTATTTAAAACTTCTTAAAGAATATTTGTGTCTTTATTATCATTAAAGTAGACCTAGTATCAGGAAAAGACGTGAATAGGAGACTCATTTTTAACCTAATATATTTCCATAGAGCGGGAAGAGAGAGAGCGTGCTGAACGTGCAAAGCGTGAGGAAGAGCTACGAGAATATCAGGAGCGGGTCAAGAAATTGGAAGAAGTAGAGAGGAAAAAACGCCAAAGGGAGTTAGAAATTGAAGAGAGGGAACGGCGTAGAGAGGAAGAGAGAAGGCTTGCTGATGACCCACTTTCTAGAAAGGTGAGTGTAGAACTTCTGGTATTCTGTGTTATTTTGACCAGCCAGTTCTTTTGTATCGTGTAAGTTGGTGTTGTGTCTGGGCTTGGTGTTCCTAAATTGGCAGCATTCACTCTTCCTGTATTAATTCTTTCATCTTCCCAAGGTTAGAAGTTCCTGAGAGGAAAAATTAGACCATCCTTGGCAATGCAGGGCTTTTATAGGCCTCAGTTAGAATTCTTATCAGTAGGATGAACCTCAGGTGTTGGCCAAGAGAACAGTGGAGATTGCTCTGGCAGAGGGATTCTCTGTCTGTGTGAGAGTGATGTGAGTCGCCTTTCGAGGGCGAGTGAGGCGGGCGGATCAGCAGCTGTCAGCATCCCTTGGCACTTGTTAAGAGATGCAGAATCTTGGGTGCAGCACCAAGCTCTTGGATGCAGAATCTGTGTTTTAACAAAATTTCCTGGTGATGTAACTGCTGCTTTGAAGAATTTAATAATACTACATTTTATTATTTTAAAATTTATTTAAAAAAATATCTTACACATTCCACGATTAAAAAAAATTTATTTTTAATATGCCACACACAAATTGTAGGAGTTTGAATCATCTCCTTTTCATTCTGTCCCTAATGTAGATTTTTCTTTTGTGTGTATTAATGTTTTCCCAGCTCACAATCTTCCCCCAAGGTCAGACCTTCCTATGTTGTGGCCTGATTTCTCACAGTTCATACTTCACTGCTGTATCTGTTCTTGGTTTTTTTTTTTTTTTTTAATTTAAAGATTTATATGTATGCATCCAGAACTGGGGTGTAGGCAAGAGGATTCACCAGAGACAGTGGGGAGCAGAACAGGCTGAGGGGAGTAGTGGGCGAGTCAGGAGAGGTCTGCTGCACCATGGGGTCACTCCGGGTTACTGCTAGGGTTCACACTCACACTAAAGTGGCTCCAGCTAGCTTGCCTTTTTGCGCTTCAACCCAGAGCGCTGTTCTTGGGTTTAACTGAGTTTTTCCAGATCTTTCTGTTCATTTTCAAAGATTTTATTTCTGTTTTGTGCTTCACTCCCCTTCCTTTCTGTTGGAGAACTTCTGGTTGTGTGTGTTCACAAACATTCAGTTTGGAATTTGCTTTCCTGTCCTTGCCACGCCTTCCTTGCTGTAAAACTAAAGTTTTCTTAATTTTTTCTATTCTCTCATTTCCTCCACAAACTATACATGTATTTTCACAGTCTGAAAAATTTGAGCATACCTCTTTACTTAATGTCTTATTGTGAGAAATTAAATTTTCCACCTCCAGAACCTTAAAACTCAAGACTCATTTAACAGTGTATAGCCAGATTGGCAAACATGGTTTTATTTCACAAACTTTATACGGTATCACCTTTTCTTTGTTCACTGGGTTTTTTTACACTTTTTTCAGAATGTCTTTGTGTATGTCTCAAAAGAGGTGTTTTTTGACCAGTTCCGATCAAAAGCTTCAATATTTTTCAACCTGTGCCCACTGTTGTGGTACACAGGCCTGGTTCTCCAGTGGCTGGCTGATGGGCCTGGTCTGGCTCCTCCTGTTGGCAGTGGGCTCTTCCTCAGGAGCTTCCAGAAGCTTCCTGTCTTTAGGGTAAATAGAATTAAGAAATTGACTAAGGTACTTTATTCACTGAATATATCATTTTTATCCTTTTTGGTACTTAGCTTAGATAGAAAAGAATGAATTTCCTTAAGGAAATTTTCTCTTGCCTTTATCTCTTGATATATCACTCACTCAGCTCATGTTCTTTGAGATTGCTGTATAATTCATATGTTTATAGCAGGGCTTTTGCTGCTGTGTAATCAAATGACTTGAAAATATTTTGGCTATCCTGTTAATTTTTTATAATTTTTTCTTTTTGCTTGTTTGTTGAATAGTTGTCAGTCATCCCTAAAATACCTTTGAGGTTCTGATAATTGTACTAAGACCTCTTCTTGCTTGAAATTGTTTTAGTTGTGGCATGAGTGTGAAAGTGGAAGAAGCTTCATTTCTGTGTCTAATATGTCCACTATCTAATATGGACATTTCCATAAGTTAACATGGATGGTTAAGTTTGTGTTACCGTCAGAGAATCCACTCAGGAGTCTCTTAGAACAACTGTTGTCTTCAGAGAGTGCAGAGTTAGTAGCTTTCATTGTAGAAGACTTAAGCTACTCATTCTTATCTTTTCCTGCTTTTTATTGGTAGCTGTTGTGGGAGGATTTTGTAAATAAATAAATAATTTAAATAAAACTTTAAAATTTATTATTTATTTTATATCTTCAATGACTGAAACAGGACATCTAAACTCGCAGCTTCAGGAAGAACCATTTGTTCTTGGACCTTTCCTTGAACTTGCCTTGGTCTCTTTTACACCTTTGCATTTATTTCTGAAGTCTTCCTTGTTGACAACAGTTTTGTCTAAGTTGGGATCCACAGAGTACTTGGTTAAGAATTAAGTGATAGTGGTTATACATTTTTACAAAAGACTTGATCGTTAACCTTTTGGTGATTTTTTTTTTTTTTCTTGCCCATGGCATTGCATCCTACCCTTTTTGGGATCGCGATCAACTCCCACCACCACCAGAGTGGGATGGTGTGACAGCCATTGTCGGCGTTTTTCACAGTGACTGCGTTTGGAGTAGCACCTGCCAAGACCAGCATTTCCTGCTTTCACGAGTTTGTCTATTTTGATAGCAAACACTCAGCCCTATAGTAATAAGGAAGGCATGGCCACTTTGTAAAACTCTAAAGATGGAGACCCTCTTAGTCACCTCCTTGGTATTGTAGTTACTCTCAGCATTGTCGATCTGATCGGTGTACTCTACCCCACCCCGAAGTCTTCTGTATTTTCCAAGGTGTTCTGACTTGGCCCAGGTTACATTTGTGGGCGCTGTTGAACTGTGTGGAGTGGTGTTTGTGAACAGAGCTGAATGCACTACCCTGTGCAGGGTACCAGATTCACTGTCCCCCTTGGCACTGGGCGCGCCCTCACAGCCTTTCCATTGTTTTTAACGAAAACAGAATATTTTGAAGAGGGAAATAATAGTCATGTGACTATTACCTGTTACGTTGCAGTCATTCCCCTTTGTTAGTAGGCGCTGTGATGCACAGTTTGGAGCACTTGGCTTTATTTTACGTAATTTCAAAAGAAGGTCAAAAGGAAGTTGAGTATTTTAAGCTTCCAGAGAGAGGCCGTCAGACCTTTTTCAATTCGTGTTTTAATAACTTGTAAACCACCCATTCAACATAAAAATAACGGTTTCACTGTGATTCTGATTTCAGGTTATAAAAGAAATCGGATTTTTAAAAAGTCTAAAAAAGTTGTTTACTTAAGAGCTGAATATTGTTTAACATACATACAAACATGTTGGAATGGTGTGCCAGTCCTTGTAATAAGTGTTGTGCCTATTACCAATTTTCGTCAATGTAGGACTCGCGTTGGGGAGATAGAGACTCTGAAGGCACGTGGAGAAAAGGACCTGAAGTAGATTCCGAGTGGAGGAGAGGCCCGCCAGAGAAGTAAGTCACAGGCCCTCTTGCTGTTAGTAGCTTATTAGTTGTTTTCTGATTTGGTTTATGTCATAAGGGGAGAAAGAGGAGAGAACCTTGCAGAATTGTGTGAATATCTGTTATTGAAATGTTCAACATTTCTGTAATTAATGACTTCTAAACATTTTGAGAAATAGGTGCTCCAAACTTTTTATTCCCTAATCAAATAATACTTTAGGGAAAGAATGAACAAGTCCATGTTTTTGTTTTAATTTACTTAAGTAGATTGAACCATCCTCTAAATGATTGCAAATTATAGGCAAGAATATTGGTAATAATGCTTAAAAGATAATTTTGAAAGGTACTAAGACAAAAGCATCCATGGTTTTTCTGTTGCACTGCCCTTGAAAACAGTTGCCTGTGTATTGGTTTATTTGTTGACTTCAAGAGTTTGGCTATTGTGCTATTGTTTACTAAGAGAACATACTCCTTTAGGGCTAGGATTAATTAGCTTAGATTGAAGTGATTTTTAAAAGCTCATGAAGCAATTCCCAAAATGCTCATGTGCTTTTAAAAAAATTTACTCTTAAAGATGTTTGACTTGTTGCTTTATAGGGAATGGCGACGAGGTGAAGGACGGGATGAGGAGAGGCCTCACAGAAGAGATGACGACAGGCCGAGGCGGCTGGCGGATGATGACGAAAGAGAGTCTTCTCTCAGGTCAGATGATGACCGGATCCCCCGGCGTGGTATGGATGACGACAGAGGCCCCCGGCGTGGTCCTGATGAAGACCGGTTTTCTCGCCGTGGAGCGGAAGATGACCGGCCTCCCAGACGAATCGGTGACGAAGACAGGGGGAGCTGGCGTCATGCAGATGACGACAGGCCACTTAGACGAGGACTGGATGAGGACAGAGGAAGCTGGCGAACAGCTGATGAGGACAGAGGACCCAGACGAGGGCTGGACGAGGACCGGGGGCCACGGCGCGGAGGTGCGGACGACGAGCGGTCATCTTGGCGGAATGCTGACCACGACCGGGGACCCAGGCGGGGTTTGGACGATGACCGGGGAACGTGGAGGAATGCTGACGATGACAGAATTCCCCGGCGTGGAGCAGATGACGATAGGGGACCCTGGCGAAATATGGATGATGACCGGCTCTCAAGACGGGCTGATGATGATCGGATTCCCCGAAGGGGCGATGATGCAAGACCTGGTCTCTGGAGACCGCTTGTCAAGCCAGGTAAACTTACTTTAGCTATCTGGAAAACCAGACTGGACTTGATGTATTTATGGGTAGAAAGTGAAACTTAACACCAGCCAATCTCTACTATTCTGTACACGATGGGTGTTTTCAAAAGAAGGAGCCCAAATGGCTGTGTTTTGACTTTAAGTGAAAAAAAAATTGTTTTTTAAGGATTTATTTATTTATGCATTTAAGAATTGGGGTGTAGGCCAGAGGGGTGGGGTGAAAGGATTCACCAGGGACAGAGTGGGGAGCAGAACAGATGGATCCACTAAAATACACTGTTGAGGGGAGCAGCGGGCGGGTCAGGAGAGGTCTGCCGCACTGCGGGCCAGCTCCTTGGCTGGGGATCAGATTTGTGCTGAAGCGGCTGGTGCTGCGCTTTAACCTGTTGGGCCACCTGGGAGGGCCCGAAACTTCTCTTTAATACCCTACATGTCCACACAAATAACTTAAACCCCTTTTTCTGCTTAAGTGACACGTGCTGGTTTCCTCCTGCCTTTTTGATTCTTCACAGGTTCCTGTACTCTTCAGGGTTGATCTGTCCTGCACCAGCCTCCTTGAGTAAATGAAAAACTATAAAATATACTTACTAAAACATTTGTCTCTCCTGACAGCTGTGGGAGCACTCATTTCACTTGCATTCTTCAGTCTGTGACTTAGCTTCCGCCCTCCAGTGTCTGTGCCCTCGGGCCTGGTTCCCTGCTGCTGCTGCACCACTGGGCACCTCTGCGAGGCTACTCATAGAAGCCGGCGTTCTCCTGCTTGCTTTTTCGTCCTGTGTGTCAAATCTTCCACTTTGTTCAGTTCTGCATTTTCAGTTTCCTTAAATCCTCTTTCCACTTGGCGTGCTTTGGGCCACTGTTACACTTTCTTGAACTCCTGCTTGTCTGTACTCCCATTTCTGTCTAGTTCTGTGCAGTAACCAGAGCAGTCTGTTCTAAATAAGCTGATCTGAGTAGGTTTTTAGATTTTATCGTTATGGTTCCTCTGGCATGCTTCTGTCTTTTCTGTTCTCAGTTTATTGTGCTCCTGAACTGGTGACTTTGGGCAGGCCCCTTCTCTGTAGAATGGGGTAACAGGTTTTCATTAAGTTGTGGTAGTTGGTATTGCTGCAGCCAGCGCGAACATTGAACCATTGCTCCTAGGGGAGAATCCCAAGGTCACGGTCCCATGACACTCGTGTTACGTTTCTGTGACCTGACTATGCCTTTGTTTTTAAAAGCTGCTTTATTCAGTGCTATTTATTGCAGTGAACTTATGGCCAGCAGCCATAAGTTGAAGGAAGTTTATCTGACACTATTTTCTCCATTGCCTTCTTGTGTGTGAGGGCATGAGACAGCACTTCAGCACAGCCATTTGGAGCCATTTTATACAGTAACATCAACAGAAAGCACAAAAATGTGAAAAGTGTGGCGCTTAATATAAATAGCTTATCAAAAAGAAGTAAGATCTTCAGCCAGAGAGGGTTGCACATTGTTCAGCTGCAGCGAAGATCCGCTGGTCCGGCAGCTCAAGTAACTTGTCACTCTGCACGTGTCAGCAAGTAACTTTAAAAGGCTTGAATATTAATTCTGGGATGACAAATTGTAGGAAGTACAAAAACCTTCTCAGCTGAGAGCTTTGGGTAGGATTCAGTAAATGCAGTGTTGTACCTGATATTGTAAACACCATGATTAGCAACTAATAAACACCATGATTAGCAACTAATAATGCTGAACTGTGCAGCCACATGTCTCATGTTCGTTGAAATCTCTGCTCCTTGGACCTCTTGGTGCTCTCTAGCAGTGTGTGCTCTGCACACATACTCCATTCCTAGATTATGACATCTCATGTTCATTGTGAAAGATTGGGCAGGGTCGTTGGCTTTGTTCATGATTCCGCTGTTAATGGTGGTGGGCAGGAACATAAAAGTATTTTGGTTACAAGGTTTTGAGAATGTTGCAAGAAAAAGATGAATTCTTAGTTGGGGCCCTGTCTCTTCCAGGTCAAGATCCTGACCTGTGCCCTGTATCTCTTCCGCTAGATTGAATTATCTGTTTACTAACAGGCAGATTTTTGCCTGATATCTTTTGCACATGAACATTCAGCTCATACTAGATGAACTTCCTATATGTTGTGTTCTTATATGTTAGAAAAACAATAGATGTTCCTTCTAGGAGCTGATGATTCTGGAAAATGCATTGGTTTGCTTGCTTTCAGTGAAGTTTGCAGTGTCTAAAATTAGCATTTACAGTGGTGAGTTAACATCAATGTTACGATCTCTTAATAACTGCTGATCTGTGCTGTTTGAGTGGAAATTATTATCATTAATTTTTGTCTCTTTAACAAAACAGGCGGATGGAGAGAGAAAGAAAAAGCCAGAGAAGAGAGTTGGGGTCCACCTCGAGAATCAAGACCATCAGAAGAACGTGAATGGGATAGAGAAAAAGAAAGAGATAGAGATAATCAAGATCGAGAGGAGAATGATAAGGACCCGGAGAGAGACAGAGACAGAGAGAGAGAACGGGACAGAGAAAGAGATGGGGATAGAGAGGATCGCTTCCGACGGCCGAGGTTTGACACTCCTGAGTCTTTGTGGTGGTACAGTTAGCTGCTCCTAGCTATTTTTGAGAAATGGTGCTACACAGTCCCCCACTCCAGTTTTTCTGTTACACGCATAGGTATCAGGTTTTCTTTTGGAAGAATTTTGGAGGTCATCTATTGATAGTTGACAATTCCCACTTAACAAAGTGAGAAAATGGAGGCTGAGCAGTGTGGCTGTCTCCAGGGATGTGTGTGTGTGTGTTTCTTGGGGATGTACAGTGCAGGAGTCTGTGTTAGTCCTTGTGGTCAGGTCATTCAGTTTTATTGCCCTTAAATTAATAAAAAGGAATTTTTTCCTCTACTTTTATTAGTGGTAAAAGTTTTAACTTGCTTCCTTTGGCCAAAGTGGATTTGTACTGATGCATGTAAACCAGCAGAATTGAGTGCATTGAAAGTAAAAAACTGCGCTGCCTGTAATGTTTGGGGTGTGGCTAGCGCTGCTGAGTCTTTGCTGAATTTAATTTGAACGTAGTGGTCACTTGGGGTGGCGCCTGCTCTCGGCCTACACAGCTCAGTAGGTTCTCATTTGACCTCTACACCTGAGGCATCAGGTTGAAGTCAGGTTATGGGTTTAGTTTTTTTTTTTAAAAGATTAATTTATTTGTACATACAGAACTGGGGTACAGGCCAGAGGCTCAGGGGCCGTGAGAGGATTCACCAGAGACAGAGTGGGGAGCAGAACAGGCAGATCTACGAAGTACACTGCTGAGGGGAGCAGCGGGCAGGCCAGGAGAGGTCTGCCACGCCATGTGGTCACCTCCGGGGCAGGCGGGAATCAAACTCATGCGGAAGCGGCTTTAGCTTCTCAGTGCTGTGCTTTAACCTGCTGCGCCACCAGGGAGGGCCCAGGTTATGGGTTTAGTTTTATGTCTCTTATGGGTAAGCCCTCTGAGCACCAACTTGGATATCACGTATTTTCTTACATGACCGTGTAGTCTAACAGCAGAACTTTGCCATTTTGAACTGCTACAGGGATGAAGGTGACTGGAGGAGAGGACCAGCTGAAGAATCCTCTAGCTGGAGAGACTCAGGTCGCCGTGATGACAGGGATGACCGTCGTCGTGACAGAGATGATCGCCGCGATCTAAGAGAGAGGCGAGATGACAGAGACCGGAGAGGACCGCCTCTCAGATCAGAGCGGGAAGAAGGTAGAGTGGCCCGACGCATCACCGCCTGTGCGGAGCCAGCTAGACGCGCTGTTCTCTAACGCAGTGGGGCTCCCTGAAGTTAGCACACCTCGGTTCAAAGCCTCATAGCAGAGCAGATTGGTTAATAGTATTCAAAGAAAGACTAAGGGCTCACATAAATATTTTATAAAAGTAGGGTTCTGGTAGACTACCACAAAATAGCCCATTTTCTGAAATTGTAACAAGTGAAACTTTAGAAAAAAAATAACTTTAGCATGTTTGAAATCACCACTGCCCTTAAGAAAGTTGTTGGACAAGCTTTTAATAATTTGTACAGCTGGAATTATATGGGGTAGCTTTGTTATTTTCTCGCCTGGTCCATTATACTCCTGCTATGAGTGAAACCATCCGGTATTTTTCTTTCTCTTTCTGGCTTATCTCACTAAGCATGATCTTTTCCAGCTCCATCCAAGTTGCTGCAAAAGACATGTGTTTCTCTTTTTTGGTTGCTGAGGAATATTCCATTGTATATATGGACCACAACTTTTTAATCCAGTCATCTACTTTTGGGCATTTGGGCTGCTTCCATGTTTTTCCAATTGTAAATAGAGTAGCAATAAACATGAGGGTGCAGGTATCTTTTTCAGTCAGTGTTTTTGTGTCTTTTGGGTAGATACCTAGGAGTGGGATTGCTGGGTCGTAGGGAAGCTCCATGTTTAGCAGTTTGAGGAACCTTAAGGGGTAGCTTTGTAACCATCATTAAAAATATTATGGCTAATTGGCTTTATAATAATTCAGCAAGAACCTAAAATCCTATTTAAAAAATTTCCTTCAGCCAGAGTTTTGTCACTTTGTTTTTTTAAGATTTATTTATTTATATATACAAGGACGTGGGTACAGGCCAGAGGCACAGGGGGTGAGAAGATTCACCAGAGACAGAGTGGGGAGCAAAACAGGCAGATCAAGTGAAGTCACTGCTGAGGGGAGCAGTGGGTGGGTCAGAAGTCTGCTGTCCCATATGGGTCAACTGACTCTGGCCGGGGATCAAACTGCGACAGTGGCTGTGGACAGCTTCCTAGCGTGGTGCTTTAAAGGCTTCCACCACCAGATTTTTGTTATTTTGTGTTAAAATGTCCTAACAGGCCAGAGATTTCTTCATTTGCAAAAGAAAATTACTACTTTAAAAGTTTTATCAGAAATTGTATCAATGCTTAAAATGTGTTCAGCTTTTATTGCTTTTTTTATGGTTCTGTACCACACAGGATTTCTGAGTAATTTGGTCTTTTTTTAAACTTAAGTTCTGTTCAGTCTTAGCCAATAAATTGCAGTACAGACAGTCATTTCTTTCATTTAAACTTTTTAGTGAGCTCTTGGAGGCGAGCTGATGACAGGAAAGATGACCGGGCAGAAGAGCGGGATGTCCCTCGTCGCATTCCTCCCCCAGCTCTTTCAAGAGATCGGGAAAGAGACCGGGAAAGAGAAGGTGATAAAGAGAAGGCTTCATGGAGAGCTGAGAAAGATAGGGAATCGCTTCGTCGTACTAAAAACGAGACTGATGAAGATGGATGGACCACTGTACGACGTTAAGTCTCAAGATAATGGATTCAAACTCATGTTTTACATAGGTTTGATCACATGCGAGGATTATTATACTTGTGCTTCAACCAATCTAAATTGGATTCTTTAATGTTGTCTCACCATAACACAAAAGCATGAACTTGTATTAATCCTATATAATAGATTGATCATGCACCGTATCCACAGAAGGTTGGAAAACCATGCCATTTTCTGGAATTTAAGGTGTTGCGTTATTTCATCAATCACTTGTTTACAAAAAAGAAAAACTAAAAAATAAATTTGAAATGTGAACCCTTCAGGTATTGAGTAACACCTGTATCTTGATATAGAACTGATCTTTTCTTTTGATTCTGAAATATATTAATTTGGAATGAGGTAAGGTTCTGTTATAGAAAATGTATTTGAAGACTCTTTTAAACGGGGAGCTGAAACCATTTCACATCATTAGCAATTGAGATGTACCTCTACATAGTTTGGGGTATTTACTATTAACTCAATTTAGAAAGTTTTAGGTTCACTATAAGTGCAGTAAACATTATAAACATGGGTTACAATGGGATGTGCTGTAGATTTGACAGGTGAGTGTAAGACTGTTTGCATCAGGGCTGCGACCACAGGCGCACTGCTAACGCGTGAGGCCAGAACAGTTACAGCTTTTACATTTTAAAGCATTTGGTAAACAATCGCTAAGTTTTTTTTCTGTTGCCAATAGCAAACCGCTTTTCCATTAATGGAGAATTCATGCCTTTCAAACATTTTAAATATGACAATATTTATAAATGTGTGGTTTGGAAGAATTGTTCAAATTCTTTTTCCTACTTTACTTTCTCTTCAGGGTAGATTCTTTCAATAAGTAATTTGTAGTGATGACTGTGTTGACTTCAATTTCAAATGTAGTGGATATGTTAAAGATGAACTCTATGTTCTTATTGAAGCCAACACAGAACTTGCTGCTGTGGTTTTTCTTCAATGATAAATAAAATACTTACAGAATTTGTTTTAGTGTTGATTTGTGGAAAGTGTTCTATTTATAATGGCAAGTTTGCATATTGAGTTGAGTTTGGTATTTTACTAGTGTGTCTATAGTATCAAAGAAACTAAATACAGAGAACCTAGGTACATGTGACCTGGATGCTTCCCCTACGGTGTCCTGCACTGAGGAGCTGGTCGTTTCTTGGTCATGTTCCTCTGCACGAGGTGTGTCGTGTACCACCTTGTTATTAGAAAAATCAAGTAATTTTTAAGAACATTCATTGCAGATTTATAGTGGCTGTGTAGCACTTAGCTTATTGCTGATAATGAACTGTGAGAATTCCTGTTGGTGCAGCTGTGAGACCAGAAGAGGGAGTATTACTGTTCTACTTAGCTTCAGATGTGGCTCTTCCTTTTTGATGTTACAAATGATGGAAACCACTGTTTTAAATCTATAGTTTTCTTAATACCTGGTGTTTTAACAAGTGGACATCTTAAACATTCTTTAGTAAGGAGGGGGCCTTGCTTTTCATACCAAGTTGAAAGAACTTGGGACAGCAGTAGCCTGCTGTGAACCTCCAGTTACTGGAGCCAGGATTATACCTGACGTCACAGAAAGGTCCCAGCCAACAGCTGCTCAAGCTCCCTGCTGGATGAATCACAGGCGTCTCGTGGGTAGGTGTCCAGGCCAGTCTGCAAGCCCACCTATCCTCAGACCTTTGCCTGGAGACGATGTTCTCCAAAGTCTTCTGTCCTGGGAGTAGGAATCCAGACTGCAGGGTGAGCGTGGAGGAATCTGCTCCTGCCTGTGATCTTGCTCTTAGGTTTCACTCAAGACCTCACAGCCTTGCCTCCTCCCCCAGTATTTACTCGCAAGTGTCAGAAGAAAGCTGGACAGCCAACCTACTCAACTGATGTGATTCGTCCCACGTTCCCAGTGGCTTCTGTACTTCAAAAAAAAAAACAAAAAACATTGCTGTTTATCCCCATGGGTCCAGGTGCGGAGACCGCAGTTCCTGAAGACTGGCCCACTGGCAGTTGGTGGCGGCTAGAGGAAGAGGCTGGCATCTGCGTGTGTGGGGTGACAAGGACTGCCTGTTTTGTTTTCTTAGCAAAAACTTTAGACTTAACGTTGGTTTTGACTGAACAGGGGAAGCCGTTATGCTATGAGATCGGGCCTGACATTTGGACCTTTCTCTTGAGGTACGTGCCTGTTGGTGGTGTCATTTGGGGTACATAGTTTTTGACATATTAGTTGATGCCAAAGTTGTAATCAAATTTTATAGTTCTGCATCCTTCAAAAAGAACTTTGTAGCAAAACTAAAATTCAAAGAAATGAAAATCCCCTGTGAGTGTCTACAATCAAGGATAAAGCAGGTTAAGGTGATCTGTGTTCTCAGAGTTGGTAAAAGCGCTTGGGCTTCCATAGTGCGGACTGCTTAGTCAGATGTACAGCATGTTCTTAAATAATGTTAATTTTGTCATACTACTTTAAACTTTGAAAGAGAGGGTGGCTTTCACCCTAAATTTACTTTTGAGTCTTGGTTTTGAGTTCTGAGGTTGCCTTTTTACATTTTTTTCCTAAAAGATTTATGCATACACGGACAGAAGTATACACGGTCAGAGGTGCAGGGGCTTATGTGTGTGTGTGAGAGAGACTGGGGAAAGAATAGGCAGGTTGACTGAAATACACTGCTGAGGGGAGCAGCAGAGAGAGGTCTGCTGTGCCCTGTGTGTCAGCCCCCTGGGGGTTACGGGGATTAAACGATTACTTGGTAGTGCTGAGACTTCTGCCCCAAGTCACCAGGGAGCCCCCTGTGATTGCTTTTGAGTGACCTACAATGCGGTTAGTGTTATTTGTAAGAGATCTCTTAGCTGACAATATTCTGTTCATGCTTTAACTCCCTAGTATTTTAATTCTAGCTGGAAAAATAGGATTAGTGGCTGCCAGTCTAGTTATGACGGTCTTTGGACACATTCCCCATAACTCCTGGTCCTGGGACAGCTCTGTAGTAAACAACCCAGTCTAGTAAAATGATGGTGCATCCTGTCCTGTAACTTCAGAGTAATTTTTATGCTGAAGATGCATAAAGCCACATGCCAAAAACCTGGAAACCGTGTAATTTGGCTCCTTTTAGAACTACAATAACTTCGTTGCCCAGGTACCTGGAGAATGCTCTGATCTGATTGCAGTGTCTCTTGAAGGCACAACAGGGCAGTGGGAGAGGTAACAGCACCCAGTGATTGAAAACCGTCCTAAACACGGTTTTAGTAAGTCCAGTCAAATCTGAAGATTACTGATCTACGCTAGACTAGCAAAAGTGGGTGGTTTTTACCGACTTAGATGATGACAGTTCAAAGTTTGTTTCAGATGAAGAGTCCTAAGCTTGCTTTTAAATAAACCACATTGTACAACACACCTTCCTTGGACGAAAGGCAGGCTCCCAGCTTTCCAGTGTAGCTCTACTCCACTCTATTAGACTTCAAAGGAACATTCTATTGAGACCCCCGTGGAAGGGTGAGCTGTGCTATCTAGCTGACCTCTCCCAACAGGATCTTGGTACCTAGACAATTTCTGGCAGTGTTTGCAGATGGAGATGGCCTTTTGTACTATCTCCGAGGAGTACGATTCACTTCCATTCTTTGTTGCCTGTCTGGACACCAGGTGGCAACACACCACGGTGTGGCAGTCGGCCTGGTGGGTTTTCAGTGAGGGTGGGTGGTTAACCTTTGCCTAATGATCAGGTTTAATCTCATTCATGTATAATTGGTAGGTTCCAGAAACTGGGATCTTTGGGAAGTGGGGGAGCCTCCTTGCCTTGTCTGCAACCCCCCCATGAGGTAATCAGTCAGTGCTTTTTCCTGGATGGAGGACTGCTTAAGCTTAAAGCCACCGACAGCCCAAAGTGGAACCTTGTGAACCCAGGCAATTCTAGCGCAAAGGACTTCACCTTTCCACCCACTCAGTTGGAGAGACATCAGCTGGTGTGAGCTTCCGCGCAATGTTTACTCAGAGCCATTCAGGGTGCACTGATACTGCTCTGCCCCTTCTCCCTCTGGCGCTAAGTATCACCTGGAAAGGGAGGGCGTGTGCGGAGACAAAAGGCCAAGTAGCAAAGTTTTAAGCAAGATTAATGATTTCATGTACTGTTACTGTATAAATACACACTTTTTAAACAGCACCATTTCCAAGTGTCTACACAATATGATTATAACTTGGCACAATTTTTCAAGGTGAAAAATACTAGTTCAGTAATAAAAGACCTGGTACATAAAAGAATAAGGAGCGGTATTCTACCGGTTACAGATTGTGCACTTTTACACCTCCAACTAGGACGGAAATAAGCCACAAGGAGGGAGTACCCACCTAAATTAATACTGGAAAGTTTTCTAAACCTTCACTTCTCAGGAACGAAGATGCTATCGCTTCGCTTCACCTGGAATTAGAATAATCGAAGGACAATCAAATGCTCAAACCAAAGTCCTTTTGCCGACATTCCATAACACCGCCAGTTTTAAGTTCAGTTCAGAGGCTTTTAAAAAAATATTCAAGACCTAATAAAGTGCCTCCATTCGTAAAACGAAACATCCGAGATTAGACAATTTCATACTGATGCGCATCTAAAACAGGTCGACGCGTACCGGAGTAAACAGCGCCTCGAAATTGCCGCGTTTCCGTTGCGGATACACCGGCCTTCCCCGCCGGGCCGTGCAGGACCGGAGAGCTCGGCTCGGCTCGGCGTCGGGCAGCGAGTATCCCCCCGGGCGGCCGGCCTTGTGCCCGCACCGAGGCGCCATCCCAAGTTGGGCCAACTGTTGCGTTCCAGGACTTGCCGGCAGCGGGGCGACGGCGCGCGGGCCCCCGGAGAGGGCAGGCGGCGTCCGGGGCGCCTGGGCCGCGGCCCGAGCCGGGCCCTCAGCGCAGCTTCTTGCCGGGCAGGCCGTCCCTGGGGCTGCGCGGCGGCGGGCGGGCGGCGGGCGGCGGCGGCACTTTGGAGAGCGGGCAGTACTTGATGGTGTGCGCGTTGTCGCCGCTGGCGCCGCACAGGGGACACGTGTAGCGGCGCAGCACGGGGCACAGCACCCGCCCGTCGGGGCCCTTCAGGATGTGGGTGGTGTAGAGCGCCACCGCCTCCTTGTTGTTCCGGCAGAACACGCACACCTGCAGCTCGGGCTTGAGCAGCCGCGCGGCGGCCCCGGAGGCGGCGTGCAGCCGGGG